GGGCGCGGCGTGCTGCTCCGCGTTCACCAGCTGCCGCAGCACGCCCCGCACGCTCACCTCCACCTCCACCGCCTCCGCCCCTCTCTGACCTGACTGACTTCTCTCGTATCTACAACAACAAATAATACAAACGCCTTATGTATTGAGCTATTTGCAGCAAATGTGCATAGTAAGATTTGAACAGATTTTCCAAAACTATTTCGATTCTACTATATATCTAATTAACCCGCACTGAGCCAGCGCAGTTGACTATGGCCTAATCACCCCTAACTTAGGGTAGGCTCCGAGCCCCTCGGTGGGGACATATAGTGAGCTCCAGATTTCCATTCCCCTTAATAAACTAGAGTCACATGTTTTAAAATATTTAATTCTTTTCGTCACTTTTACCCATATTCAAGTTAAAAGTAAAATAAATAGTAATGTTACCTGAGCAACAAGACGCAGGAGGCGACCATAGAGTAAGCAAGTAGTGTGCCAATAGACATCATGTGGATCAGCTGCTCCAGCTCGAATATCATCGCCAGCGTACCTACACAACACACAAACATAATTACAAATTAAAATATTCGGAAAACGCTTTAATCATGATTTATTTTTATATATATCTTTGGATCCCGACACCAAAAAAGCGGGGCCCCGCAAAAATCTTGCCCAGGGCGTCCCAATAATCTTGCCCAGGGCGTCCCAATAATCTTGCCAAGGGCGCCCCAATAATCTTGCCAAGGGCGCCCCAATAATCTTGCCAAGGGCGCCCCAATAATCTTGCCAAGGGCGCCCCAATAATCTTGCCAAGGGCGCCCCAAAAAATTTGCCCAGGGTGCCCCAATAATCTTGCCAAGGGCGCCCCAATAATCTTGCTAAGGGCGCCCCAAAAATCTTGACCAGGACGCCCCAAAAATCTTGACCAGGGCGCCGGAAGTGCTGAAACCGACCGGATTCTTGCTTTTATTGAGTAGTGAGCTAACCAGTGAAGAGTCCAGCAATGATGGTGCCGACGAGCGGTGTCTGGAAGCGCTCGCTGACCGCCCCCATGAACTTGAACAGCAGCCCGTCTGACGCCATCGCGTAGATTATACGCGGCAGGGGGAACACCGCGCCTAGCAAACTGACAAACAAACATGTTTATTTATTAAAAACCTAAAAAGAAACTTATAGCTAGGTATAATTATGCATATTTTTAGTAAAAACTATTAAAACATTGCATAATCTTAAATGATCTTACTAATATTATAAATGCGAATGTTTAGATGGATGGATGTTTCTTTGAAGATATCTTCAGAACGGCTGCATGGATCTCAATGAAGTTTGGCACAGAGGTAGAACATAGTCTGGAAGAACACATAGGCTACTTATTCTGTATTTAATTCTGCGCAGACGTGCTAGAATAAGGTTATATGTTCACATGTAACCATACAGTTAAACTATAAAGCGGGCAAGAGTGAGAGAGAGAAAAACAGAGCATTATGTATGCGTATGAGAAAGGGGTATTTTAGTCTTTATTACCTTGAACATAAAGCGCAAATTGCGCCTACGCTGACTGCATACTTCGCCCACGGCCAACCCAGCTGGTCATACACGAACGGGAAAGGGGCTTTTTCATCCTGAAATCGAAGTTGTTAATTAAAAATCAACCTTACCCACATATTACTAAGGTAGCATTATGTTCAGCAAAACTTAAAAGATTAGTTGGATGTGTACCATTTGAAAAATGAACCTTATTTCCATGACAATAAGGTAGCATTACGGTCAGCAATTGAATAGTTCGCTGTGTATATGTCATTGTATATTGAAGGTTACCTGCATGTAATACGGCATCATGAGGGTGAGCACGGAGGAGACGCCGCAGTATGCGAGGAACACGATCAGTAGAGAGGCGACCACAGCAAAGGGAATGGTCTTCTGAGGACGACGAGCTTCCTCTCCAGCTGTCGCTACACAATCGAAACCTGCAAAATAATAATTTCATATTATCTATAAAATCATTATCTCCGTAAATAAAATAGACCAATTTGACGAAAAGAGTTACATGTCATAAGGTGTTATTTTTTTAGCATGGGTCAATCTTACTAATATTATAAATGCGAATGTTTAGATGTATCTCGCTGGAATTTGACATATATATATAGAACATAGTCTAGAAGAACACATAGATTACTAATTGTTTTGCTTTTAATTCAGCGCGAACGAAATCGAAGGCAAAAGCTAGTATTTACATTAAAAAATTATTTTTCAAAACAGTATAAATATTTAATATATAAAATTGTCGTGTCACAATTTACGTTCCCATACTCCTCCGAAACGGCTTCACCGATTCTCATGAAATTTTGTCAGCATATTGAGTCGGTCTGAGAATCGGACAACATCTATTTTATAATCCCGCGCGGACGGAGTCGCGGGGCACAGCTAATCATTACTTATAATTCTTAGAACTAAACATTTCTTAATGAAAATTTGGTCACAATTTTTATATTACCAATAAATCCATAGAAGCAGACTGCAGCTCCCTTTATAATGCCAGCAAGACCGTACGGGGCGAAGCCCCCGCTACCGAAGTCTTTGGTCTCGGTCTTTGGCACTTCAGAGGAAGGAATACGCCAGTTCTTTGTGTCCGCTGAAATATAAACATAACTGTTCTGATATTTCAAGCAATAGCTCAATAAGTAATCCTAAAGTATAAAGTCACATGTTTACATGTGCCTTTATTCAGCTCACTATACGTCCCCACGGAGGGGCTCAGAGCCTACCCTTTGTTAGGGGTGACAAGGCCATAGTCAACCATGCTAGCCCAGTGCGGGTTGGTTGACTTCACACATATCTTTGAATTTCTTCTCAGATATGTGCAGCATCACGATGTTTTTCTTCACAGTAAGAACGTCGCATAAATTAATATGTAAATGTAAATAATCGGGTAAAGTAATATATAAATCGGAAATCGAAAAACACATTGGTACATGGCGGGATTCGAACCCAGGACCTGAAGATTACAAGTCAAGTGTTGAAACCCCTGAGCCACCGACGCTCTTATTTCGCTACTGAAACTTAATTAATTAAAAAATTTATGATGAAATTTTGTAACAAAAATTGTTAATTCACAAAAAGGAAATCTCCAAAACTATTTCAAACAGCAAGAAAAAATCAATAGAAATAAGTATAGTAAAATGAACGAAAGGAACGTACATTAAATGACACACTTGATAATATTAAGTAAGATTATTAATTTACCTTTGAAAGATCCGGATATAATGACGAACAGGACAACACACAGATTGACACCCGTACAAAAGTTATTGAACTTCGTCGACTCTTTTACACCAAACGCTAGAGCAACTGAAATAAGCAAACTCAACTTAAAATATAACAATTCAAAAATAGAATCAACAGTTAAAAAAAATCCTATTTATGCGAATATAGTTATATCTGCATCTTTATTTTTCTTCTACAAAAAAATCATAAAAAAGTTTTAAAGCCAGTTCGCAACAGTTTATTCTTACCTGAAAACGCCATGATGACCGCAAACGCAAAGAAATCGGGATATCTAGCTAGATGTGGCGTATTCAGTGGCAGTACCGCTTCCAGATGTGTGGACATCGCTTTGTTCAGAAGAGAATCTAAATATTCACTTAAAGCTTTCACCACAGACGCTGCACCTGGAGATAACATTTAACCTTTTTGTTAACGACCCTTATATTTCAACTCAACGAAAGGACTCAACTCTTCTCATTGGATTTCAGTATTAAGTCGAGATATTTTTAATAGATCACTAATCCGTTTAGTAAAAATTCACCTAAAATTACAATACAGACACACTCAGAATCGTAAATTAGCCTTCAGGAAGACACTTAGTATAAATTCTTCACGCTAAAGAGACCCCTTAATGACCGAGACTAGGTTTCTTAGTGACCAACTACTTTTTGGCAGTTCATCATCATCATTTTCAAATCTTACTTTTCTCTTATACTATTTCAATGCTTTACTTTGCATAATAAATTGTTACCTATTATATACTCCAGTATAAGATTCCATCCGATGATGAAAGCCATGAACTCTCCAACGCATACATAACTGTAGACGTACGCAGAGCCGGCTTTAGGCACGCGAGCACCGAACTCCGCATAGCAAAGACCTAGAGAAAACATTAAATTACTACTAGATTTCTGTTTTCTAAATAACATGTCGCATTTTAGAGAAAAGTCTTAGTTTGGTTGAACTCATGCAAAGAAAAGAGTTACATTTTATGATATCCAGATGTAACTCTTTTCGTCACACAGATAGATTTTTTCACGAAGATTTTTCTTTCATTTCTATTAAATAGGTATAAAAATCAATATAAAGAGTGCTCATACAAATAAATAGAATACGTCTAATCAAATATACCGATATCAAATATATTATGTTAATAAAAGTTGGCAACACATAAGCTTTTTGTTTGTTCTACATAAAGGCAACTCTTGCGGACAAAGACGGCTTTATACATCGGTTCAGTACTGACCTTGTATCATATTTAACAGATTGTCACTTCATCTTTGTACATGTCAATTGATAGAATTGTTTTTACTAATTTAAACATAGAGGATGTACAGGGTGAAGAAATATTCTCTGTCTCTACATCCCTTCCTCTGTATATTAAACATTAGAACAAATCTGATTTATCAATACTCACCAGCAAACACACTAGCAACCGCAGCCAAAAGAAACGACAGTATCACAGCTGGACCCGCATAATTCTTAGCCACGTCTCCAGCTAACACATACACCCCTACACCCAATGTACTTCCTACTCCCAAGGCTGTCAAGTCTAATGCTGATAGAACTCGAGCGAGCCTCGCTACACCCTCCTCTGCTGCTTTACGTCGTGATAGTATGCCATAGGCTAAACGTGCTGCACGAACTGCACCAGCTTTTATACCACCTGGAACAAAGAAGTTGAAGTATACATCCGAAAGACGAGAATAGTCAGGTTGCGATGAACAACCTCTATTGAGAAACTCTGGTTAGAGAAATTTCCATAGGCAAGAAGTTATGGTCAAAGAAAAAACCTCTACAAGAGAGAAATATAAATTGCAGTCTCTCGGACTTGCACATATTCTCATTCCACTTTATTTTATATGACTTTCAATTTACTTATAAAACAGAATAAATGGTGATTATTTCAGAACTTCTAATAAATAAGATTAATCCAAGGAATCAACCAAAAAACCAAAATCAAACATAAAATATGACATTTTAAAATATAACACAATGTAAGCATAATTAATCCCAAACAAATTTTCCTTATTTTTAATTAATATGATAAAAACTTCAAACCAATATTCCATTCTATTTCATCTTACAAATAAAAAAAGGAATAAGACCGCTATTTATTTGAAATAAAACCCATTTTGTAACATATAAAAATTAAGTACTAAAACCCTGCAAAGTAATAAAATCACATAACAAAATATTACTGTAACCAAGGCAAAGTAATAAATAAATTTTTACACTCACAGAATAATAACCACATAACAGGCATGTTACGTATGACCGAGACTATTGCGTTAACTACACTGGACAGTATTCACATCTTAAGTGTATTGACCACAAAATTGATTGGAAGCCGAGACATCAATATGGAACAAATCATTTAAAGATCACTACAATTACATTCCAATAAAGTTTGGATGTTATGTACAGTTAACTAATTTTTAGGTATTATAGGCAAGTATATACTAATACATATTTATTTTATGATTAACTAGGTGTAGCCCACAACTTTATATGGAAATAAAAAATAATTAGTAGCCTATGTGTTCTTCTGCTATGCTGTTCTACATCTATGCCAAATCTAATAGAGATCTTTTAAAACCTTGTGGTTCTAACAAACATTAATTCATCTAAACATTTGCATGTATAATATTAGTGAGATTTATAAACCGAATTATTTTTAATTCAGCAAAGTAAATTAGTTCTTACTTGAAAAATAATGGACCAGTAGAAATAATTATATGTTATCTACATAAATATTAGAACCTGGATGAGCTCTGCTCGGTATTTTTTTTTTAATTGTGTTTTTTGGAAATTATATTTAAGTACAAATTACTAATAAAATGATAAAATATGAATAATATTTTTCGATCCTACTGATATAAAAAGTTAAGTTTATGTTTAAGTTGATTATAGATAAAACACGAATAAAATGACATTTTTTAAAAATGATTGCTAGCTAGATCGATTTATCGCCCCGAAACCCCCTATATACAAAATTTTATGATTCCGAGATTCCATATATATATATATATATATATATATATATATATATTAATCATTTAAAGATATAAAATAAAGAAGAAAGACTTTGTTGTTTGTTTGCCATAAATAGGCTCGGAAACTACTAGACAGATTTAAAACATTCTTTTACTGTTGGGAAGCTACACTATTCCTGATGACAAGTTATATTTATTTATTCCATTATTCCATATGGAAGAAGTTGCAGGCAAATAGTGTATTATGATTTTCTGGAAACTTTTTGTATGTATTTCTAGCATATAATTTTGTTTGTTTAGATTGGATATTGATTTTCACTTTGACTTTGCAAGCATGCATTAAATATATGTAGAAATGCATTAATAATGTGGTCAAATTTAGTTTAGCTTTTTCGTAATAACAGGTTTGCCTTGATCTCTCACAGATCAATGAAAATAAGAAGGATGGTCATATGTATTTCTACAACTTTATGATTGTATATTAATAAACCTTATATATGTATAGAGTGACAGCTGTTATATTTAAAACCTAAAAATCTCTGTGATATTCTAGAAATCTTAATTCAAATGTTTTAGTTACTTTTGTTAAGAATAAAAGAATATTTTTGCTAAGAAAAAGAGAATGGAAGAAAATGTTTGAAAAACTTTCAAACTTTTACACAAACAAATCTATTGATGTAAATCTGGGACAAATTTCACTTTTAACAGTAAAAAAGTTTGATTTCAAGACTGCAACATTTTACAATAATGTTTACATTCTATGACCCTTTTATAAGTTGAAAAGAAAATATAGCATAACTGGCCAGTTGTAAATATCATCTCTTAAGATTTTATAAAATACCATAGTACATTTTTTTTAAACAGGGAAGGAAATGTACCAAAATATATTTGGTGGAGTAATTTTCATTTCTCCCTCTTGTTCCTCTTTAACACCCAATACAACATACACTTTCTTTATTCTTTGTCCTCCTCTATTTCTATTCCTTTATATAAATGCAACTCCACAATCTATATTTAAACCTAACATGAAAGGACCTCCTTTAAAAGTCCCTCCTGGATAGTCTAAGGACTAATGTTTAGTAGTTTTAACTTTCTGTAAAGCGACCATGAAAATCCAAATTCACAATTTCTACTGTAAGAAATACAATAGTCACGTTTGTTCATTAAGTAGCCTAAGAAATAGATTATGCAACTTTTGACTTGACTGTGAATTCTTAGAGGAATTTAAGACCAAATATTGTAAGGCAATAGAAGATTCTTATATGAGAAATAAATGATTCTTACCGTCTTCATAAGCCTGTCGCACCGTGTACTCGTGGCCTGGATGATTCCGAACCGATCCATAATTTGTACAATCATTAAAGCCCGGTGCGGTCATTTTACCAATAAACTAAAATAACCTATTTTCGTGTAATTAGCAAACCGCGTCAAAACTTTAATTCATCAGTCCATTCATTAAGAGCACAGTTTCTGTCAGTAATTCATTGAATACATGATTCTACTCGGAAGCAAAAGGAATAATGTAAAATGGTTTTGCACTTGCAATTTGTGGTTTTGCGGCATAAAATGTAACGTGACACTGACAGCTGATTCCATTGGAATGTCAGTGCCAATAGGGATGTGTATTCGTAAATATAACAAAAACAATCGATTTTGTATCAACATCGATTAACACAATCGAAATAACTGCCTCGATAACTTAATTCTATCCCGTATCTGATTTTGAAATTGTATTAGAATGACATTGTTATTGTGGGCCGCAAAAAGGTGCTGATTATTATGCAACATTGAAGAGCAGCTTATTATTAACTTCAAATCAGTTTTAACTTCCAGAAAATGATAACGGCGAAAAAACTGTAACTGATTTAAGCTACTGTTCGTCATATTTTTCTTCCATTTAAAATTCATTTTTAAATCAGTAGTATCAGATGAAAAAATTGTCGTGAAACAGTAAAATCTCTGTAAAGGTCTACTATACTATTTATCTAAAATTTACCATTCTTAACGTAACCGTATTTGACTTTACATATTTCGTTTATCATATTTATCCTTTTTGAATCGATAATTTGTAAAATCGATAAATGAATTGTTAGACTTCACTAGGTGTTTAAACGGAACGAACGTAAATGTCTCATTTTATTGCGTCAGATACCGACGTCATACAACTACATAATTTATGAAGTTGAACTTTATGAAATGCGGGACAATTTGAAATTTGGTATAACTAGTATTTATATTTAGACAATATTTATAAATCTAAATATTTTAATCTTTCTATAAGCGAATACTGCAAAATATTTGAACTCAGGACAACGATTTGCCTCTATGAAATTTGATGAATCAAATAAGAAGTCCTTTAGTGTTTTGGGAGTTTGGCAGTAAATTAAATGTACTTTCCAATGAAATTACTAAACAAAGCAAAAATATTAATGTATTCAATATAAATCTTGCTAGCAATTGCCCCTGGACCCATCCATATCCACATGAAATTAAAAAAATATTAAGAAATCAATATAGGCTACTAATCATTTTTGCATTCCGCGCCGACGGAGTCGCGGACGACTGCTAGTTTTGTAATATAAATGTAGATAAATTAGGTATGTGCGTGTGTATTTTATTCTAGAAGCAGACACTTGCCATTGAATTCTCATTTCCACTAATTAGAACAATTGCTGGTAGTTACACGGTTCTTTAGAACTGTCCATCAGTTAATTGGTAGCAAAATATATTGACCGTAGGTCGCAAATATATGTAATATTTGTGTCATAACCGTGGGATCTCACTGCTTTAACATGTACAGAAAAATATCAACCCTATAATGTTTGAAGGACAGAGAACAATTGTTTTGTACATGTATCATGCTCGGGGTATAGCATTACTTAAATAAATCAAACTAAAATAGTAACTAGGTATTTGCTTATTTATTATTGATATAATCGTGTTAAGAACCAATCTAGGTCACTGCCAATTTTTTTTTTAAAGCAGATGGATAAGCGGCCACCTGAATTCGTCGAAAGAGCGAAGCGACCGCTGCACATAGACATTCGCAAATTGCATCCACAATTTATCGAGGGAGGAGAGGAGGATATGCTCTTACGAATCAACACACAGAAGTTTCATTCCAAATAACTACGAGCCCTCTGATTTCGATTAACGTAACTCTACTTTTAAGATGGCGAACGCGGAGACGCGATAGTACCTTTGTATTTTTGTTCCGTGGTCTGAACTGAAGAGGTGAAAGAACTGCACTAAACTCCACACCAAAGTCTACGATCCGAATAACCGAGGACAGGACAAGACGGTATATCAGAAATGAAGTTTTGTAGATGACCACGGCCTGCCACGACCAGTACCGGCGTTAGGGTAGCGCTAGTTGGGGCGACCGCCCAGGGCGTAAGTGGGCGGCAAAGAGGGATATAAAAGGGCTCGTGTGGCGCCCCCTTAGATAAACTATATCTTTGGAAAATTTCCCAGATACAAAAAAACAGAAGTCCGAAATGTTAGAGGCCGTAGCCACAACCCTCAAAGAAGTAGACGCTTAGAGGAGGTAATATATAAGTAAAAAATTGTACTTACTAATAATAGCCAAGAATAAGTCCCATCCTTTACTCATTATGGAAAAAAAACTTGTCACTGGTAAGTTATAACGTCTTCTAATTAACACTAAATTATATTTCTTTGACTAATGACATGTAGAAAATTCTGTCTAAACACAATTAGTTCTACGAATAAACGTGTTTATTTGTGTAGCCTGATTTAGCATTTTTGCTGACTTGACGTTAGTGTTTTGTTTTTTATAAAACGTTACTTTCCAATTAGCATACACATAGCGAAACATATAGTTATTTCTGTTTTTCCAGAGAGAACGAGAGAGATGTCTATATTTGTGTTTTACTGTTAGTATAATATCTTATTACTTGCAATAACGAATGTTGTTGCTGTGTTCAATATATTTTTAATTGGTAACATAAAATGTCATGACCTAGGACTAGTAAGCTACACTCGTACTATTTAAAAAATAAAGTAGAATTGGACTTAAACATATATAAAAAAAGGTTCAATATTGGACCAACTATTTTATGATATTGTAAAATGAACACACGAAAACATGTTTACAAAAAAATCACATTCGAATGTTTAATCAGGCCAAGAATAATTATTTTAATAGGTTAAACAACCTTAAAAAGGGCATAATACAAATCAACACATTTTACTTGGAACTTCGTAATTTTAAAAACAACTAATTATTGAAACCGTAAAACAAAAACAATTCACAGCTTTGAAATACACAAATTAAAAAAAAACATGTCAAAAGAATTTACAATAGAAATGCCAATTATTTATAGCCTATGATGCAAGTAGCTGAAGACAAATAAAAATGGCGATCAAAAAACAAGAAAGACAAAGAAAAACATACAGACGAATTGAGACCTTCCTCCTTTTTGAAGTTGGTTAAAAAAAACTCAAAAACTACTAAACTTCTAGTCAGTTTTCAACCACCCTGCAAGCAAAACCTTTTGATCATAATTTTTTTTTTAAATCGAAGCACCAGACGCGGAGTTACGCGGTAACACGCGTAAAAAAACATACAGATGAATTGATAACCTCCTTCTTTTTGAAGTCGAAAGATATCACGACTCTTAGATATAAGAACTAAAACTTAAGAGGATAGTGGGTGATGTTTAGATAGATAAATGTTTGTTTGAAGGTATCTCCAGAACAGCTATACGGATCTCGCTGAAATTTGGCATATATATTTATGTTATTAATTCCACGAGAACGGAGTCGCGGGCACGACAGTAAGTAGATTAATAAGGAACAATTAGGTTTAAGAAATCAGCAATGCTCATCACCGTAATAATAATATAAGTCTAGGTGTTAAGTCTTAACTTAGTCCATAGTCGAATCCGCGTCTTCCACGATTGTCAGATTTAGAGGTTTTCTGTAATGTTTTTTTTTTTACTCATAGCTCATTTTAAATTACTGATTGTTTTATTTTTTGCACTTTGTTGTACAAAAGTTAGTTCCTTAACAATCTTATAAATTATGTACAATTTAAATTAAGCAATAACAATATGAATGTTAAATTAGTGAAACAGTAATCGGGAAGTATTATATAATCTATATGAATTTAAATAAGTTTGCATAGACGTGCAAACAACATAACCTTGCTATGTTATCCATAAGTCTTATCTTAGATTTTTTTCAATTTTTCGCTATAACTAAGCATAAAAAAACGCATTAGAAAAGCGTAGAATTTTTAAACACATACAACCTTTTCTAGATTATATCAAAACTCACTTATATACATTTTAAGATGACAAAACTAATCAAAATTTACAGACTTACGTTCTTATGTTAGTCCATTTAATCTATATCAGATGATTAAGAAACTAATACCTCAGAATTATCTTTAAGGCGGAACAAAAAGAAGGAATAATATTATTAGTCGTATTTTTTTAATACTGAGAATATATGTGGAAAGAGATATTGGTACATATTACGTCCCCAAACGTGATCCAAATGATTGTGTTTCTTGTTCTCCAGCAAGCGGTACTCCACATTCGGCAAACGATCTCGCAACAGCTCCGTGTCACGTATAGAAGATATCCTATCATTTCTGCCAACAAACAAGGCTACTCTCATTTTCACTTTCCCCAAATCATACGATGGCGGTACAATTGTATTATAAACAACATTATTTCTTATCGGACCGTAGTCGTATTGTGAAAAACTTTTACGCAAAGCAACTTGCGCGACATGAACTCCATTCTTTCTTGACGTACTTGTAGGATAATGAGACACGACGACTGGCAGAAAGTCAGGTTCAAGTTCAGAAGGATCACTGCCACCTATAGCGAAGAACACACCACTCGCACACAATTCGTAACCGAGTTCTTTCTCATTACAGATTGCTTTAATTCCGTCATTTAACACTGAATCATCACTAAACACTTCTTCCATACCAAGAGTTTGTAATAAATTACCGACACTCGGTAATAATGCTAACAAAGTTGATGTTGGTGGCTTCACATTATGTAGAAAACATATCGGAGCTAACGCTATTATAACTTTTACTTTATCATTGTACTCAGGTCTTGTTGATCCCAGGACATAGAAGTGTGTGTTGCCTTGAGAATGCCCAATCGCACTCAATTGTTTCTGATTCGTTCTATTTAAAATATAATCAATCGTTGCAGGAAGATCGTAGTAGCCCATTTCATGGAAACTGAAGTTCCAGAAAGTTCCATCGTCTGGATTTAAATATTTATGCGCTTTTGAGTATCTGTTACCTCTCGTGTTTAGAGCCCAGATATCATATCCTTTATTAGCAAGAGATATAGCAAGAGAACCGTTGCCTCTGATGATGAAAGTGTCAGAACTATCAATTATCCCGTGGACGAGGAGTACAGGTCTTCTGGGATCACCAGGGATGTGGAACAGTTTTAAAATATATCCATCTTCAGTATCCACATTGTGTTCTTCAACAATATGTCCATATTTCAAACCCAATCCAGTAAAGTTCAGTTTACTGTCTTCGTTACCAATCGCAGTGGAAATACGTATGTAAATGATGCATACGCAAATCGTTCGACATATCATTGTAGTATAAATGAACACGCTTCATGTCGTGTCTCAGAAATGATACTGAAACAAGTTCTCTTCGTGGTAATTTATTTAAACAAAACTCGGCAACTTTACCCTTGATTCTCATTCGTAAGCTGAGCCCGCGACTGCGTCCGCATGAATTACTTTGAGCTGCGCGCAGTACTGGATAGTGCTTGGACATTGCAACATTACTTTATTTTTCTAAAAAAAAGGTTGTTTTGTAAAATCAACGTAGCCTAAGTTACTCCTTATTACATCAGCTTCTGCTAATGAAAATCCCGTCAAAATCGGTCCAGTCCTTTCAGAGATTAGCCGGAACAAACAGACAGACAGAATAATTATAAAAAAATGTTTAGGTGTAAGTACCGTATTCATATACATGTAGTCAAAAACGGTTATTTCAATATAACTGACACTCCAATTTTATTTATATGTATAGATTAATAAACAACCATATGGTATTGATATTTAGATTTTTATATTTCTTAGAATCCCTTTAGTTATTTTAAAGCGTATGTAATTGCGAACGCCGCATCTCAGAGCAGCCAACCTTGTGTTCGATATAACGAATTCATAAAACTTTACTTTTAACATTTATACTTAAAGATAATTAAAAACTTTTTAATATTATAAAAATGTATATGCTGGTATACATATAATATGACTAGACATATAAAATTATTTATTTTAACATGTTCACGTACTTTTTCTGCAAAATGTTATTAAATTTTTTTTTTGTAAAAAACTGAACATTATAAAATAATTTTACAGTTCATAATCACAAGTATAAAAAAAACATGAGCAAAAAATACGATTAATTTAAATATTTTTTTTCTTTCAGATATGCGCCACGGAAATGACGTCTTTGCAAATAGCGTTTGCCCGGAAGTTCATCAGTGCGGAATTTAAAAATAAAGCCTTGGTTCCACTAAAAGTTTGGTTAAAATAGGCCCAGCCGCAGCAGATTACCCAAAACACGCATACAACAGACGCAACAGACAGATAAACAATCGGTTCAGGCTATGCGCTATCTGCACTCGGCCACCTCAAGCCCGGTGAAGCTGTAAATGCCTCTTCAAGGCAAACAGTGACTACTCAGTTACAAAAAAACAGATAGACAAGATTATTAAAAATTACACAATGTGTACGAAACGTGATTTTACAGATACTAAATATATAGATATCGCTGTATTTATAATCAAATTCGGTTTTAAAAGTTTATATAAAAACTAGCTGTCACCCGCGACTCGTCCGCGTGGATACATAAAAAAATATATAGATAAGTTAAATAATAAGCAGCTCTTCTGGGCATAAATTCAAAAAAAAAGAATAAATAGTATCCTATGTCCATCTCCATGCTCTAAGCTACCTCCACACCAATTTTCAACCATATCGGTAAAGCCGTTCTTGAGTCATTAAATAGTGTAGCTAACACGACTTTCTTTTATATATAGATAAGAAGATGATTAACAAAAATATCTATAAAAAGAATAAACTTAACACAGTAAATCATTAATAAGCTTAATTTAATTTACGTTAAATCTAAAATGCTTTAAATGCACAAATCAATTTCCCGCTAAACAAAACCAACGGCAAAATCAAACGACAACACGTAATTAATTTAAACAATGGATACTAATTAACTCATTCAATATTAAAGGTCTACAAACACTTCGTAAGTAATGAAATATACTAGTGATGTGATTCTTACAATTAATTTACTTACTACTGTAATTGTACTAACTAAATTTTATTCGTAACTAGCTGCCTACATACGTCTCCGTTCGCGTGGAATGAAAAAAAACTTAATTGGTTCCTGGCAATTATTCGAATTTTTCTCACCTTTTAAACCTCCACGAACATTTCAAGACCAAAATAAGGTAAGTCAGCCGTTCTCGAGTTTTAGCGAACAAACAGCAATTGATTTTCATATATAATAAGCTGTCGCCCGCGACTCCGTCCGCGCTGGATTAAAAATAGATGTTGTCCGATTCTCAGAGCTACTCAATATGCTCACAAAATTTCATGAGAATCGGTCAAGCCGTTTCGGAGGAGTATGGGAACGAAAATTGTGACAGGAGAATTTTATACATAAGAAGAAGATATATAAAAAAAAACTTTTTATCAGAAGAAGAATAACTAAAAAGAAAAAAATAATTAATGGAATAGTAATTTTAATGTCTTTGTAGCACTTTGCTCTAAAAAACATCGTCTGCAGCAGAAATTTTACGCGTACTTAAATGAGACGAAGCACATCACTATGTAAAGGCGAAATAAACGGTTTCTAAATGCCACCGAATTGAAATTTAATTAATTTAACTTATTTGGTTTCTGTTATATAAAATGTCACGACTTCGTTGAGCTTACGAGTTTAAAATGAATAGTGTTATATCTTACTTATATTATAAATGCGTATGTTTGGATGTATGGATGCATGTTTGGATGTTTGTTAGAAACTATCATAAGAATGGCGCAATCTATCTTGAAGGATCTCGATGAAATTTAGCATAGATGTAGAAAATATCCTAAAAGAACATATAATCATCATCCACAGCCTTTATTTACCCACTGCTGGGCATAGGCCTTTCCCAATGCCTTCCACAATACACGGTCCTATCTCTTTCGCATCCAACTACTTCCCGTCTTATGCCATCTCTTTTCCTTGTCATATTTACCCCATTTTAGCGTCTTTCTCTTATGTAATATTGATAGTACATTATGTGTGTTATTTTTAATGGATTTGTAAATCTGACATTGGCCAAGAAAAAGGTTCTTTTTCTAACAGCCTGCGGAGCCATTATCGTAAACTTTCAGTTTCAGTAGAGCAGAGGGCGTGGGCGGGCCGCGCGCCCTTCATACCCAGCTTTATAACTTGAAAGCCTTTAAGTGTTCACGTATAAATGATGCTTCTATTTTAATTACTTATTTTAAACTTGAATATAAATTTTCTTGAAAGGATAAAGTGAAAAATAGAGATATGCAGAGGACACTAACTACAGTAGTCCAGAGGGGTAGGCAGAGACCACGGAAGTGAAACGAACCTCCGCAATCCGCTATTCGCTATTTCAGGAGACGGAACGTTACGGGTGACGAGCCGCGTCGTGCCGCCTATTTCTCCCGTGAATTCACACATATCTTTGGAATCTATATTCATGAAAGAAAGTCGTGTTAGTTACACTATTTATAACTCAAGAACGGCTTTACCGATATGGTTTAAAATTGATGAGGAGGTAGCTTAGAGCCAGGAGACGGACATAGGATACTATATATTCTTTTTTTCGAATTTATGCCTTGAAGAGCTGCTTTTTATTTAACTTATCTATAAGTTTTTTTATATATCCACGCGGACGGAATCGCGGGCGACATCTAATTTATTATAAGTTTAAATAACTAGATTGTAACAAAGGTAAAAACAGCTTGCTTAAATCTATATAAAACCCTTTGATTATTGTTTTAATTAAAGTGGTGTTAATTGTTCCTGGTATTTATGTTAGCAAGGAAAGGGCTTTAGCTTTTACAAAGGAGTTTAACCAAACAGCTTTACAAATTCGTTTGAATTTGGTATACCAGTACAGGTTACAAGACAAAAGAAAATTAAAAACACAAACTTCGTTTTTATATTAATCAAATAATCGCACTCTTAACCATGATATTAATTTAATAAAATTGTATACCATACTTCTTATTAATATTATAAATGTTAATGTTTAGATGGATGGATGTTTGTTAGAAGGTATCTTCTGTATCTCCTATTCATGGCTTTATGCATCTCGCTGAAATTTTGCAAATATGTAGAACATAGTCTGGAGTAACACACGGGGTACTTAGCTTTTTTAATTCCGCGTGGATGGTGTCGTGGGCGACAGCTAGTGAATTTAATAAAATCGTACTTATTTGTCAAATATCTAACCAATACAAATGGATATTGTTACGTATTTGTATTTAAGACCCAACTAATGATCCCAGAGTAGATATAAGAGGCTTATCTCATGAGCTACATACAAAATCAAACGTTTCAAATGTGTACTTATATATAAGAAAGTCGTGTTAGTTACACTATTTATAACTCAAGAACGGCTTTACTGATATGGCTGATAATTGGTGAGGAGGTAGCTTAGAGCCAGGAGACGGACATAGGATACCATTTATTCATTTTTTTTATCGAATTAGCCTTGAAGAGTTGCTTTTTATTTAACTTTCTAATATTATAAATGCGAATTTTTAGATGGATGTGATGTGGATGGATGGATGGGTGGGCTACAATAATTAAGTTTTTTTTATATATCCACGCGGACGGCCTTGCGGGCGACAGCTAGTTAATGATAAGAATACTGTACTCAAATATAACAAGTTATTTTTATACTAGCTGTCGCCTTCGACTTCCTCCGTGCGGAATTAAGAAAAAAGATAATTAGTAGCCTGTTTTCTTCCAGACTATGTTCTATATCTGTGCCAAATTTCATCGAGATCCGTTCTGCCGTTCTGGAGATACCTTCAAACAAACATCCATCCATCCATCTAAACATTTGCATTTATAATATTAGTAAAAAGTATGTTTTCTTTACAAAAATAATATGTTTGTTTAGGTCAGATGGATTGTAGGAACTGACAATTAACACAAACATTATAGCTTCACAAGATTCTTGAAAACATGTAATATTTTTTACTTACATAAATAAATAAGTACAAAAGTCTTCTCCAATTAAGACGGATCCAAAAATAATGATGTTTGTACTTTACTTGTTAAAATACACTTTCTTAATAACAAAGAGAAGACGAAGAAAAACCGTATTGTAAGTCGCCCGCCCACGGACAGGTAGGGATATAAATACAGGTAGGGCGGGAACGGCGTCAGTCGCGCGCCTGGAGCAACCCCTAAATAACCTCCCCGGCAGCTTCAAACATCCACAAGCTACGTACTCTTGAAGATATGGCATCTATAAGGTTAGTGAGATTAAATGCTGTGCGTCTATATTTTATACCATTTTTAAAAGAAATAATCGTCAATTGCGTTGTAACAATTTTCAGGTTTCTAAATTTAAAGAACACCAGATTTCATTATTTATTATTTTCTTTAATAACAATTAAACTTGACGTAAAATAGCTAGTAACAATAAAATCTTCATTTTTATAGTTTAAAGTTATTAAACGCAACAATGTTACAAGCACCTGATTGTAATAACAACGCTTACAATGTTTTATGAATGTAATAAAAGTGTCATCAAATGGATGATAATGAAGTAAATTTAGTTAAGATATGATTTTTCCTGTTAAATTTTTTAATAGTCTTGTATCTGTGTTCGTAGCAAACTATTTACGAAATCTTAGTTCGGTTCACGAAACTTATTACCAATTAAACGAGTATTAAAAACAAATTCTAGCAAAAAAAACTTTGAAACGCCGAAAGTAACTATGTAATAAAATCATTATTTAACCAATGTATATTATAGTTAGATTGTGTTACGCATATTTTACCTATTCCCTGGATATAGGAGACAGGATTCCTATGTCTGACCTCAATTTATCTGAAAGTAACCTGTAACCTGGCAGCCGCTACTTGACAGTGAGGCATATTGCTATACAAAAAGCGCCAGGCGCTATAAATAAATTGGCGACGTCGGAGATTTATTGACTCCCTTATTGAGATCAGGTTAATTAAATATTAACGTTTCGAGTTACTAAAGATTTAAAGTAAAATGTTTTCTGATTACGTTATTGATAATTGAAATCTTAACTTATAATCATTTTTAAGATTAAATGTGTTATTATTTTTTGAAATAAAACAACAGGATAAAAAAAACAATTCATTAGGATGTAGATAATCCGGGTGAGAAACAAAATCACGTAGTTATTACGTATTTATACAATTTCGGCGCAATCACAAATAGACATATTAATTATTAACAAGGTACATTTGTAGCGAGCAAAGGGCAGACGAGAAAGGTTCTATTCATAACAAAATCGATACCAGACATCGCTAAGGGGAAACCAAATGATGTATTGTTCATGGCCCCAAATAAGAATAAAAATCACCTATTGTTTAGATATTGATTAAGCGCGGATCTCCCCTGTTAAAACATATGTAAGGTTATGTTTAGTAAAGAGAAAAATATTATGATATAGTACAGACGTATCGACAGTGAAAATTCACTTTAAAGATTATCTGTTCCCTGTACCGTATTGTTGTTCAGTTGTTTATTCTCTAATGCTAAATAGATAGATAATAATAAAAATCTATGTCGGAACAAATAGCAATTCGAAGCCAACTAATTACCCTATCTAGAATTGGAATGGATTTAGAAAAGTTTTAGCTCTGCTCTTGCCCTGGCCGATATATTTACGGCGCTCTCTTTTACCACGCCTATGGACTGTGTAAATCGCGGACCTGCGGCGCCCCTCTGTGTCTCTGGGCGGTCGCCGGTACATTGGACCTGTGATATTAGATTACCAAATGATATTTAGAAGTAGTAACATTACAATTTTCTTAATTATAAGGAGCAAGATCAAGATACTGTGGTTGTCAGCCGTGGTGTGGGCGTTGCTCATCTCTTCTGGCGCCGCGTTTGATTGGTACGACGAGCCCGGAAGGCCTCTCAATGAAGACATCTTCTATCAGGTATATATTCAAATTCTACGGCTCATGATTAGCAGTGACGTATGTTTTATCTGCAAACTGTATGTGTGCCAGATGGACAACTGCACGTGGAGGAAAATGTGCTTAGAGGTAGCCACGTATCTCTAAAAAACATCACGCGCAAAGCCGGCTGACAAAGATTGCCTTTAAATTAGGTCGCGGTGGCGTTCACATTTTTTTTTTTTTAATGTAAATAGACAAAGGAGAATTGAAAAGAATGATGTATGGAAGAGTCAAAATATATCTTTCTTTAGAATTACAACGTGGAGACGGGTCCACGTGCGGTAGTTCCAGTGGAAGATGGGAACAAAGACGCGGCGGAGGAGATGGGCCGCGCCATGCTGCTCTACAAGATCATGCAGAGCCTGAAGCTGAGCAGGGGCATCGCTGGACAGTACTACAGGTGAATGTAACCTAAAAAAAAACTGGATGCACAAGACATTTTGCTGAAGTTTTTTTTTTTCAATCTATTTGTACTTAATTATTTTGGATTACGATGATCGTACGGTGATTTATGGTAAAATGGATTATTAAGATATAGATAGGACTGTATTTAGATGGTTTTACAAAGAAAGATAATAAAAAATCATACGGAAATTACAATTCTTTTTTGTTCAGACCGAACCCTGATACCATCGATTACGTGGACGTGGACCAAACCCCAATGAACATGGACATCAAGGTGGCCAAGCGGGTGGCCAAGGCCGCGCAGCCCGAAGACGCCAAGAATACAAAGCCCAACGCACAGGCACAAACCCAATCCAAGCCAGCCAAGGTGAAACCAACAAGTAAGTTTACGATCTATGGTTTTTTAATTTATTTTGTATGTATAGGTTTTGTAATTGAAACGACGAAACGTAGATCGATCTGGGAAACAAAAATCTGGTGCGCAAGCTCAGTTGAGAAAATGAGGGAGATGATAATGATCGTGGTGATGATGATGGTTGTGATGATTTTGGTGATAATGATGATATGATGGTATGCGTTTTAATTACTATTTTTATAAACAAAATGCATATAGGAAAATATTTTTTACTTGCGTTATTTTGTAAGCTTACGATTCTATTGCCACAATATTTCTAATAATTGTCTTATTTCCAGGGGTTCCTGTAATATGTTACTTCAAGCTTTGCTCCTACCGAGTCACGCTCTAATTGACAAACAGACAAATGTCGATTTTCTATATATAACTTGAGCATTCTCAAATAAAAACCGATGATAATATTTAACTTTGATGGTTCTATAACTACCATTTTTATAAAGCTAGTCTAACTTACTTAGTACTTTAAAAATTCAAGTAGATTCAAGTTATTTTATTTAAGATTACGCTATTTACATCTGAAAATGTAATTCAAGAAACCATTTATAATATTGTAAAGAAATCCGTCATGACTTAAAACTGTTATTAACAATTATTATATTCCAAATTGTTTAAATATTAATTTTAACTTTACAAAGGCACGATATACCATAATTACTGTATACGAAATTATATTTAAATAAAGTATAATTTAGGAATAGCGTTTTATTTAAAATTCTCTCCAATATACTATTTATTTCAAAGCAATATTTTGTCTAATACGTATCCTAGTTGGAGCTTTTTTAACCTATTTTACATTCAAAAACTGGTTTCATAACATTGGTTGTCGTTATTATAGCTACTGCTTATTTAAACTAATACCAAAATAAGTAAAACCAATTCAAATTCATTCCCTCAGTACAAAATGAAATGAACTTGAGAGTTAATTAAAATTTGAAGAGTCTCGTGCCGGAGGGAATACGTGATACAGGGGGATTCTTTTTACAAATAAAACGTGACTGAATGCCAATTCAATATTTACTACTTGATACTGCGCCTATGTAAATATTTCCCAGATTTATAGGAATGTTTTAGTTGAAATAAGTATTTTTAACTAAGTTAAGTTTAAAGTTGCAAACGAAATGCAACGACCTTTTACCTTTAAAGGTCCGTTTTAAGTGAAAAGAACGGTACATTTTCAATAATTTGCCTTTCCAAGGTTTTAATAGACCTAAGCTGAAAGTAGACCTAATATTTTAAAAGGAATGTCATATCTGATTCCAAGCCGATCCAGAAACAGTAAAACTTTTCATTAAAACTGGAAAATTTATATCCTTTGACACTTTCTCATATAACTTATAAAACATTCTTTAAGCTTATTTTAGAATATCACTTCAAATTATCTCGCAATTTTCGCACAAATAAAAAAGGTTAAATGAGTTTGATGTTTTTCTGTTTGCATAGGGCATTAATTCGTTAGCGCCGTGGGGTTTTAGTCGATGCAAGCCCATAACCACCTTTGTCCCCGCAAGGATGGTATGCGTTAGGCATTTCCCCACGTTAAAAAAAGGTTAGGCATTAAATAGAAATAAAAATCATTTTTCAATGATCAACATTCAATATTGTTAATTGTTTATTCAAAAGAAATCAAACGAACTGAAGGCTGCGCCATTCCGGCGATGTGAATATATCCGTGACTGAGTGGAACTGGGCTACCTCCTTCAAGGCGGCAGGGGGATTTTCTACTACTGCAACTAAAATTACATATGTTTGATTACTCAAAAAACTTTAAAACTATAGTCATTTAACTGAATCGTCTAAGCCAGTGATTCTCAAAGTTGTCCTGGGGACTATAAAGTTGAGGGTTCACATGACGTAAATTAACCTTTTGAATGCAATGAGAGTTGACTATTGACGTTCTTCGCAACATCAGGATTTGATGTAGGCAGGTAAAGTTGATCGTTGACAGCAGAGCCCATCTGCGCGACCAACTTCTTCAGTCGCCACATAGTAACCCGCCGGCTGAGTCCTGCGACTCTGTGGACGGACAGCATCTTATAAAACTCTAACAAACACGACTAATGAATAATCGCGCTTGGAATAGTTTTACACTGTCCGAAAAATATTTTTCAATATTACATTGTTTTTTGTCAAATTGTTTGACCTTTAAATTTTTCTTTTATTCTTGACGTTAATACTGTGAGGCTTAAAAACTCCTCGGTTGATTTTTTCTTCTTTGATCTCTATAGAGGTCAGTGCTTTTTGTAATGGATGATTTTTTTTAACGAAATCTAGTTATATAACTTTTGGTTAATCTTACTAATGTTATAAATGCAAATGTTTGTATGGATGGATGTTTGTTAAAATGTATCTCCAGAACGAGTAAACAGATATCGATGGAATTTGTTAATATTTACTAAAGTTACTATTTTTTTTAATTTCGTGCGAACATAGTCGCGGGCGACAACTAGTCAATTCATAAAATCTTACGCCTTTCCGTATCCCTGCCTCTTTAGTCACAAGGGATTCCTGCATGGGTAAATTTTATATTTGTTCTAAAAATATCGAATTGAATAAAACACATATAAGTAAAATTAATACATCGTTTAATACGTTACAAGCCGGATGGCACCGCACAGGGCACTACCCACCCCCTTCTCCCCTCCCCCCCACTATATACACAACACTAGTCTGGCACAAACTATTTCTTGTTCAATGCACAGCGATAACACAATTTCGACTTCAAGCCTATAGACATAAGATATATTTTAGAATAGAAAAACAGTATTCTTCGGCAATTCTTAATACAAATATTACATTTTACTGACCACAAATTAACATTATCAAACATGTTTAAATGTAAATACGTATTAGCCTTAAAAATGCATTAAAAATCTATAACCTCGAAATCGAAACTTAATACTGACTTTAAAAAATAAATTAACTTTGTACGTCTCTGTAATATATTTAAATGGGAAAGATAATAAACAGAAAAAAAACACTAACCGAATTATTAAAAACAAATAGATAATAAAATCGATATTATAATAGGTATGTACATAAAAAAATGGCTACCGTGAAATTTATTAGCCAAGTATGATTTACAATTCAATAAATCGTGTAAAAAACACACAGAATATAAAAAAAAAAACAAGAATTTTATAACCGTTACAATTGTGACATAAAATAACATTGTAAATGTCATAAAATTAAAAAATAAAAAATGGCGGTAAAATTTTACGTCATCAATCCACGGATTTTTTTTTTAATATCGAAAGGAACTTGACATAAAATTAACAAACACTGAATTTCAATTTCAACAATCTCCATTGAAAATATTTAATTTGCTTACTAAAAATTTTCAAAAATACAAAAATAGGTAATTTTAACACAAAATAACTATGACACTTCTTTTGACAATCACTATGACACGAGATGTCATTATTCCCCAAATATAAATCGGTGTTGCTAGACTACAAAAACAAAAAAAAATAGTATGAATATTTTTTTACGTCTTCATTGTACGTTATTCTCATTCCAATTTTAAGAAAAGAAATTATCAATTTTATTTGAAATCAGTTTTGAACAATCACAGAAATAATGAAATAAATACTATTTGTTACGTTTTTAAAATACTTTACAATAATACGAAATATTATTTAATATTTACGAACTTAATTAAATTTAATATTAACTCTTACAACAATTAAATTTCAATTTTAATTGCACTTTTCTATACTTTTTTAGCATAAAAGTATTACAAGTGTATATATTTAAGGCATCATCATAAGACACTAATTTAAGGTCACATCACACTGAAGCAATAAACTGTAAAAAATATATATGTAGTTCTATTAAAAGAAATTAAGCTTAAAACTTTTGTTCATTTTAAAACATTATTAATATGATTTAAGGTTATTATTTTAGACCAAACTGCACCATTTCGTAGCAAACACGCGGCGTCTAAGCGTTGACGACGAGAGAACGCCGCATGCTCCTAAGACCAAATAAAATCACCTTTTGAATATAAAATATGTACGACGCGTCCAGCGCATTTATTTGACTACTTTGGGTGTTTTTACCTATATCCCTTTTTACTTACTTATTCCCAGTTCAGTATTAGTGTGACATGACCTTTAAGCTCTACGTTTCCCTTACAATTATACTCGGACATTAGTTGAACCAAAAGTCAAACTAATTTGACAGTTCACTAGCGCCACTCTGTCAATGTCAAAAAACTGTCACAAGATACTTGTACTGCAGCTTTTTTTTTATTTTATGGCAACTTCTGTGCCTAAGTAGGTTTTATATATATTCTGAGAGAACTAACCGCGATAGTAGCGCCTCTCACATTCAGCGGGGTTAGACAAAGTGCATACGCTTCGACGCGATTCCATAACGAACTTCAATAATGTACGTAACTGAGGCGTGACAATCACGTGACTTATCCAAAGTTATTTTCAGTTCTATAAACTTTTGAAATTCGTTAAGGAATCGTTTTGGAGCGATTCATTCTGTCTAACCCCTTATATCTTTGTTTAACTATACATGATTGTCAGTGTGTGAGTGGTTGCTACGCGCGCGCGGATGTGGGATGGTACGTGATGACGTTGTGCGCATGCGTGAAGGGCGGGACGGGGGCGGGGGGCGTGGGCGAGTGCGGGGAGTGCGGGGAGTGCGGCGAGTGGTGCGGGGGTGCGGGGGGCAGCTGCAGCGCGCGACTCTTCCCACCGAGGATGCAGCGCGTCGTCACACCGCTCTCCACCTCCACTATCAGCTCTGATCCCGTTAACCTGTTCAAAATTACCTTTTACTTTTGTGTATACTAAAATTGGATTGGAATATATCAATAAAAGTAAAAAAAATCCTAGACGTTGCTTGAAATCTTACTTATATGAATGGATGGATGTTTATTATATCTCTTTAAAATTAGGCACAGATGTAGAACATAGTCTGGAAGAACACATTAAGTTTTTTTTAATTCAGCGCGGACAGACTCACGGGCGACAGCCAATATAAATACGATATTGACAGGTGAATACAAAGACTTATAATTTTTATCGTTTTACTGTGTTTGTTTGAGTGTCTGTGCGTGCGTGTGTATGTACGTACGCGTGGTATCTGTGTGCGAGCACGCCGAGCAGCTCGCCGACGAGGTCGGGCGTGGGGTCTGCGGGCGCGACGAGGCCCAGCACGAGGTCGTTGCGCGCGCTCGGCACGCTGATCACCGCCAGTTGCGCGTCGCCGCTCATCACACGTACAGCGCCCACCTATACACAGTACATAACACTTGTAGATTTATTATCTGTGAAGGACTCAAATTAACATTAAAGCATTCAAATAAATTGCAAATAAAACTTTGGTACCTTCAAGAGTAACGTTGCTACGCCATCGAATAACGTTACTTAAATTAACATCTTTCAACTAGATTACCACTTAGCATCAGGTGGTATTGTGGTTGAATTGACTAGTTAAGATACAATTTTTCTTTATTTTTTTGAATTTTGTCAAAACAGTTCAAATTAATGCGAAAGGAGGTTTTTTTAGCGACATCTGTCGACATATGTTGGATACTTCAAGTATTCGAAGTTACCTCAGTGATGGGTGTCGGTTTTTTAAGCAGCTTGAATGTGTTGGCATCCAGCTTGCAGAGCGCGGTGTCAGTGACGAGCAGCGCGCGCGCAGCCAGCTTGTTGTGCCTGTTGAACTTGTGTACGCGGCACGAGAACACCGCACGACCCACCTGGTGCGACTTCTGGAGGTGTGCCAGCGCTGATCTGTATACAGCTGGAACAAAATATTATTTCTTAAAAATTGATCATCAGCACACACACGTCCCCACTAATGGGCTCGGAACCTACACAAAGTTAGAGATTCGATCCCCGGAAACTGCAGATTACAAGTCAAGTGCTTTAACCCCTGAGCCACCGACGATCTTAACTACTCAAAATCTCAGTTCTCACTTGGAACTTTCTTTTTTTTTAAATAAAAATTCTCTCTTAATAAATAAATTTAAAATCTATTCTAAAGACTTAACTAACCAGCTTTATCATTATAGCTATCGACGGCCAAGTAGTCCCCCCTCCACAACCTCGCAGCTCCCCAGTACGAGCGTCTGCCGCGGAGGGCGCTGGCGGCACATATCTTCAGCTTCAACTGCGGCCACTGGTCTCTCGGTACGGGCCGGAGTACCAGGTACGCGCGCCAGCGTCGGTACGCCGCCTGTATGATGGAGACTGGTACGCGTCGCGGAGGCTCCGCCCACCTCTTGATGACGCCACCATTGCGTTGTAACTCCTGTTGCAGCTCGGATATGTAACGCCGGTAGCGGTAGCGTCTAGGGAAACATTGATTAAAATTAATTTTCCAACTTATAAGAGTAACATCCAAACTCAGAGTCTTTAATTGGTCACTGTGTGTAGATTTAATTCTAAGTCTGTTCGCTTTCGTATGAACACACTGCTGCATTATTGAAGGTAACTTACTTCCATGCATTGAATATGAAGAGAGCTGCCTTCATCTTCCTGTAGCGCAGTCTGGCGAGCGTGCCGCGCCACAGCTTCTGCAGCAGCACCACGATGGAGGGAATCAACTCTGCGCGTGCCGCTTCCAGCGCGTGCACCGTCTGCGCGCTCCTACATACACATACATGAACAGTCTTTTCTTATAATAAAACAGGGGGCGCATAGAAAGGGGAAATATTCTCTTTCTGTGCGTCTCCTCTTAAGTGCGATTGCGGATGTCTATGAGCAGCGGTCGCTTCGCTATTTCGGTGAATTCAGATGGCCGTTTGCTTGTTTGTAAATGTCTGCATATAAAAAAAATTGTTGCTAGCTCAAAATGGGCATAATCCGAAATGTTTGGTGACGACACGTGTTTAGATTAAACTGACCTAATGAATAGCTTAGTGTGTCCAAACTGTACGTCGTTGATCTGCAGGTCTCTGAGCAGCACCATGACGGCGTCGCGGTCGCTGGTGCCGCGGAAGTTGGGCCACGTGTACTGAGACAGCATCTTGTAGCGCTTCAGGAACCGGTCGTAGCGCTGCCGGGACGCGAACCCCGCGCGACGCACGCGCACGTTCTCCACCAGGCCCAGGTACGCCACCTGGTGCCGCACCTGGTAACAATAATCTTACTGATATTATAAATGCGATGCGTATGGATGGATGAATGTTTCTTTGAATGTATC